GGTCCGCGTCACCGGATCTGAACAGCTCAACTCTGGAGAGCAACGTAGACGGAACGCCGATAATCCAAGAACCATTTCCAGGTCCTGAGGAACTATATCGAGCCAGATTTTGAAGAGGCCTCCAATTGGGCATTGGTGCCACACTTGCCGCAACGGCCACGTTTACCCACCAAAAAATCTGCTGCACGATAAGTGTTAAGTGCGATCGAGATAGATTCTGTTCAAGTCATCATCCGTATAACTCAGCTCAACTGAAAATCTGCCCTGTTTCCTCGTCCTCTTTCATGGTGCAGTTCTGAGCTGCTGATGCCATCAAAGCAATGTCTGGGAAGGCTAAGCTTCAGATGCCGACGTCTTACAGATATGACGTCCGTGTTTTGAAGGGATTCTAATTCGCAGTCGCCACGATGCCTGGAACAACGAATTTTACCAGAGACTCGCTGTGGATTGGGGAAACCTCAGTGGAGCGACCGATATACTACACGCAACGCCAAAAACATAGACACACATTCGGTGAATGTTAATCAATCCCCTGTGTAGCCCTCGTAGATCCCAAAGGCCCCATCTATACCGTGAGTCGCGATGGATTTGGTTGCGCCAGGACAAAATGATTGTACTCAAGAATACAACGCTGCGAGTAGGGTAACTTCCTGGCGAGTTGGCGGGTTGTCGTGCCGGCATGAGGTTTTTCATTTGCCCTAACCCTTTTAGCCTCATATTCTCTGCAATGTACACAGAGGTCCGTCGTGGGGATCAACCAGACGTAGCCATAAACTTGCAGGCCTACGGGTAAATAGTCAATGTCGGTCACACCCAGATCCTCGAAGAGGTGACCAAATTAAACTAGAGAATGTGCGCATCACTCAACGCTCATGACTCATTTTTCAATACCGACGTATTTTTTGCATTCCCCCCAACGTCACTGTGTTCAAGAGGCGTTAGGATGATCCCCTGTTAAAGGTCAACCAGAACTCGCGAAAGCCCACCAAACAACTTACTGTCATAATTATAAACATGCTACTATCGATATTTCAATAGTGTGTCTTGCTTGCATTGGGATCGACCAGGCACACATCAACTGTCAGACCAGATCCGGAATATGTGACCTCCTTATAATAGAAGACGGTCTACTGAACATCAAGCCTGGGGCGGATATCTCGCGAGGCTTAGGTCTCTCTGGGTGTGCCAACCAGTTGGTCTTCCCGGACTTTTAAAAGGATCATAATGGATATAAGTGAGGACCGCTCTTCTGGACGATTTCACAAGGATACTCCTCCCTATGAAACAAAAGTCTGGAAGAAGAACAGTGACATCTCGCAATCCTTTCGCCATCAAAAACGACACCTTGAGACAAGCCTTCTGGCATTGTAAGGGAAAAATCGGTGATCTAATATGTAAGTCCTTAGTTTTATTCGCATAAAATGTCTGCTTAAATTGACTTATGCTGGCATGTTCTAATCGGGTGAAGTTTCTAGGGGTGCAAGTATTCTCAATACTGTCCGCAGACTCTGTTGATTGGCCCGTTCATCTGTCCTGTTGGTAAAACTACTGTTAGAATCCTCCCCGCTTTACATGAATCCCGAGGCCGTATTTTTGCAGCACTAGATCCTTGTCGAAGTGAAGGGCTTTTCAAGTTGAGCCGCCATTTTTTTCCTCCTTCCATTCGCGTGTAACTTTTCTTATATATACGTCGGTTGGCCTACTTCGCTCATTATAAACTGATTTTATCCCTCCCTGTTTGTTTAATTACAATGAGGTCATGAGTGCACGAGGTCACGACTCTGGCGCCGTTTTGAAAGCAGTCCAATTTGGCCTATATGGGACGAATATTCCAAGAAAATTTATCCATCATTTCGGAAAATACAATCATTGGCGACTATAGATTACGTTTGATTCCCCGGTGTTGTGAGTTTGTGCGCCTAATTTTATACATTTTGAATGGAGGATGTTTTTGCTGAAAATTTTTGAATTATATTTTCAAAACAAAGCGTACATCTCTCTCTCTCAAATACCTACCAACCAGTTGTAATAAGGTTCTCATGCCACGGGATAAATTCGTTGCAATCATTGGCGAAAGTCAACAACAGTTATGGGGAGGAACAAAACAAGGCCTGTGAAACCGCCATGTCTGTGTTTGACAATCTGGCACCCTGGTAGATGCGTTGGACCAACAACACGGGGACTAGATCAGGACACGGCAGACCTTATTCAGGTTACACTGCCATAACAAATGCTGACCAAAGAGGGAGGCTGTGGTGACACGCGTAGGCGGTCGAACTGTCGTGTGACATTTAAGACCGTGGAATCTCGCCCATCCACACTGCAGACAATATATCCTCCTATGTGATAGTAACTTGTATAAACACCCGCCTAGGATCGGTACAGCAACAAAATGCGAACCCAGAAATCCTCCCGGGATTATGCAGTTGAGATTCATAGTCTAGCAGCTGCAAGGAAATTGCCACCAATGAAAGTCAGGCACTGAATCATCTCTGTCGTTCCAGCACTGAACAGTGACGAAATCTGGCGACCCCTGATTATATACGGATGTCCGGAGCAGGAATATGTTCAGACGTGAATCACAGACAGGGATCAGTCTTGGAGGCCTTAACTGCGAAAAAATGGCGTCAAACAGGGCTGTATACGAACAACCACCATCTCCAGATTCATGCTCTTGGACATGTCAGTGGATGTTTGCCGTGTGGAGCGGAACGGAGCCAACAGGAAGTGCCGGTTCGATGAATAGAAATAGGAGGGGAACTTGTGGGTCTGTGGCCTTACTTAGTACATACTTGTAATAAATATCTACTAACATTATTTTAGTACGCTTACGGTAGCCCTCTTCTCTTTCGTTCATCCACCGTCATGTCTACCTTTTCTCGGGTTTTTCTTGCTTGTTCAATACCGAATGGGTATTTGGCCCCAATTACTCCATACCCAAATGAAACATCTACTTGTGTACTTTGAGTAGCTTCAACTTAATTCCCTACCCTTTCAATCATGCCTTCTTGAAGTGGTTCCAGCAGGGTTAGCGTTCGACTTAGGGCCAGAGCCTAGGGTCCCGATTTAAGATGAGGGTGCGGGGGCTAGATTTAGGCAAATAGGTTAACGCTAGTGCTTGACTTAGAGTTATGGGTTTAGGCTCAGCGTGACGCCTCGTTCAGAGGTATATGCTTAGCGGGTAGGCTATCAGTGTTGTACATTTCAATTAGAACTTCAGTCTTGATCATCATCAGATTCGAATTTAGCAATCTATTCGTCTTACGTTCTCCTTCAGTTTGCTTGTTTATCACGTCGTGGAATCAATTCGCCTGGAGAATCAAAGTTAGGCCCTGGTCGTCATTGATTCCGACCGTTTACAGCTTTTTACGCTTTATTTGTGTATCTAAATAAACCACTGTCGTAAATTCCTATTTTACTTTTTACTTCCCGAACGCAGCCATATGTCAGTTTAGTTTACACCCACTCATCATTACCCGCCCAGCAAATCGGTTGAGAAAGTTCAACTGACGCGAAAATTATCATCACCAGGCTTATTGTAACCCTATTTGGTGAAAAAAATGCAACTAAAATCTGTGAACTTCATAAAAATGACTATAAATTTAGAGGAATGGCGAAAGAAAAAGATTAAAGGTAGCCACTTTTTACTTGAATAAAGCTAACCATCCCTGTGATTTGACAGAATCTGGTAGATGCTGAAGCACTAAACTCGGCAAACTGACGGTTCGACTTCTTCTCACATCTGCCGCCTAAGCCATGAGAATTTATCTCCTTCCTCCACAGTGTCTAATCTCGCGAGGCTACATGAATGGTACGATGATTGCATTGATTTACTCCAATCGTCCCGTTTCATTCGTCTGCGTGGTACATTCTGGCGATTAATATACCTTTTATTAGGAAGGTTTGGTAGATTTGGATAAGTTAGTTGACCCAATTGTGAAAAATTCGCTGCCTCGGTGGGAGTCGAAATCACACAGCAGGGAAGGCTTTTGAGCAACCAACGCCCTACCATTGAGCTACGAAGCTCACCGTGAGACGTGAATTTAATTACACTTGGATCAGTTTGCTTGCTCAGTCTTATTGCACGTATGGAATCCACCATTGCGGATACAGGAAGTTGACTATCGAGGCAGGATTTCCTAGGCAATCAGTTAGAATCCATCAGAATAACTACTAGGGTTAGACACACTTGAATAGTTCAGTCTTTATTCTTATTTCCCACCAATCGTCCCGGTTCATTCGCCTGCATGGTGATAAATTTTGGCAATGAAAATGCTTTTTGGTCAAATACGCACACGGCATAATAGTCAACCAATCACCGCCAGTCGTTCTTTCAATGATCATGCGGTGTACATTATCGACATTGTCATGATAGACGATAGGCCATATGCGAAAGTATACACATCTCACTTATGTGAGAACTACAAAAACTGGCTGACTGACTGCCTGAAGAGGAACAGGAGAAGTGAAGGAAAGGGATGAAATTTAGCTACTTTTTGCTTAAAAATGGTAAATACCCTTATGAGTTGACAGAATCTATTAGACTGAAACAATGAATTCGACAAACTCACACCTATCACCCTGGCCATGGAAATTTCTCTACCCTCTTCCCCCTCCCACCGTATCGCATCACGTCAGACTGTATGAACAATACGAGGGTTGCATTGATTTATTCCTATTTCCTACCAGTCATTCCATTTCAAAGGCAAGGGAGGCTGAAATTGTACTTTCTGGCATATTAGCCGTCATCAGCCAGTCCCGGATGTGGATCACCCGAGATTCGAACCCGGGACCTCTGATAATGGAGTGTAGCGCTACCATTGAGCTACGGGCCCGTTACCTTCTCGGTTGCAATCGGGAACCTGATGATATTAGGGTGCCAACTGATCTGTTTACAGAATATGCGCATCTCCTTGTGCCTTGGAGTTCAATCTAGAGCGCTGGCGGAGAATCAGAACCTAAAAGGTTTCCCAGAAAGCCACCCAAAGCTCAAACCTTGCTTACCTGAAATTCCTGTCTCGTGTGTCCGATGCTCGATCCCGTTGACGACGATTCTTGAACCAGTTCGAGACCTGGGTCGTCGTCAGCCCCGTCAGTTCCGAGAGTTCACGCTTGTCCCTCGGTGAGGGATAGGCATTGTGCGTATACCAGTCCCGCAGAATGGCACGCGACTTCTCCTTGAAACAATAACTCGTCTCCTCCCCGTCCCAAATGGTTCGCGGCAGCGGGTACTTCCGTCGTACCCGGTACTTCGCCACCGCTCCCAACGGCTTGCCCTTGATCTTCTCCTCTTCCGCGTAATGTGCCTGAAGCCACAGCGCCTGCAGACGTTGGTGATTGCTGGGCGCGAAGGCGTTACCCTCTAGGATGGCATACAGGTCGGAGAAATTGCCCTCCTGAAAGGCCAACGTGGCTCTGGCACAGAGAACGCTCTCGCAGATCGGACTGCTAGGTGGTAACGAGTCCAGGAACTGTCTGAGTCGCTCAAAATCTCCACTCTTTTGCAAGACCTCACATATGCAGGTGATCTGATCGCTGGTGTAGTCGGGGCTGGCGGGGAACTTTGGGACGCTTGTGGG